CCCTGTAGGAATTTGACAACCTCGCCTATTACAGGAACAAAATACTACATTCTCAACAGAGTTCATTGTAATGTTTCAGTATCTAGCGCCACTAGTACCCTCGGATTTGGTAGATGATGCTAACATTCTTTATGTCAGCATTATCTTGTAATATTTCAGTATCTAGCGCCACTAGTGCCTTCAGATTTGGTAGATAATGCTAACATTCTATAAATCAGCATTATCCTGTAATGATTCAGTATCTAGCGCCACTAGTGCCTTCAGATTTGGTAGATAATGCTAACATTCTTTATGTCAGCATTATCTTGTAATGTTTCAGTATCTAGCGCCACTAGTGTCTTCAGATTTTGTAGATAATGCTATCATTCTTTATGTCAGCATTATCTTGTAAGTATGAAGCGTTGAATGCTGTCGAAAAGGGCTTCATGATAGTTTGTATATTTGTTCGTCTTGTATAATAATACGTTCTCGGTGTTTTCGGCGTTAGCACTCTTCTGGAGCACTTCGGGAATATTCGTCGAGGTGCGAGTAGCTTCCACGCAATCATGCGAGTGCACCTGCCCATTCCTTTGTGCGGTACTAGCATTGAATTCCTTCTATCTTGGTACTGGCTTGCAACTTTATTATATTTATCTACTTAAGCCTTCAGCCCGGATAGTAAATCAAGCATGGGTTTGTATCCCGCCTGATAAATACCTGAACCAAGTGGAAATTTTCTATTAATTCAATATCAGCATATCGGTAAATTTTAAAACCTTTTTAATTTTTCTGGTCTGCAGAGTGCAGCACACTTTGAAGTGTTGAGACTCTTTAAGCCGACTATGAAATAATGGGATTTTTGTAACTAAAAGTGGATATGGATTTTTTATGAAAATCGTAAGCAAAAAATCACTATCTGACCCCAGCAGTGCTATTCTGTTAAAGTTTCTCGCGCGGTTCTGATCTCAATTCGCGCGGATCCACATCGGATCCACGAGTGAAAATTTTACAGAATAGCGCTGCAGGTCGAAAACCACAAGAAAGTCGAGTTCACTCATATAAAGGTGTTGTCAACTACTATGTGATGATACCACGTAGTGTGATTCTAATTAATTAATACAACTCATAGTGTAATTGCCTTCAGTTTCCTGAGATCCGGTTGAAGAAAGACAGCAAAATAATAATGATAATTAATGTAAAGTGTGCAGAACTCTGACTTATTAATCGATCTTATTCGTTAACCTCATATCTACGATTAAAATGTAAAACTTAACACTGCCTAGACAGTTATAACACTACAAGATCCGCAGTTAGTTAACATAAGTCATCTTGTGTGTGCACTTGGCAGACCTTGCTCCAGCTGAAAACATTTTTAATCGCAAGGGAAAACATTTCTTTTTATAACACGCTTTTATTAGGTCGACCTGTATGTAACTATGTAAGAAAATCAAAGAATCTGAATTAGACGCACTTCTAATTCTTGTATCATCATGAAACTTGGCAATTAAATGGAGATTAGATGACAATACAATATTATAGTACCATCGAGCTGCTCTGATGATGGGACTGGAAGGTGGCTGATGGAACCTTGCACTGTCTACTAGTAAACATATTGAATCTGGGCTCATTAGATTCATTTTAACATATTCTTTTCATTTTTCCTGATGACGAGGACCTGACGATAGGCTGGAAGGTGGCTGATGCACCCTGGGCTGCCTACTAGTAAACGAATCTCATCAGCGTCAATTATATGTAGATAAGATGACAATACAATATTATGGTACCATCGAGCTGGTCTGATGATGGGACTGGAAGGCGGCTGACAGAACCTTAATCTGCCTACTATTAAACATATTGAGTTTGGTGTCATTAAATTCGTCTTAACATGTTCTGTTATTTTTTTCTGATGAATGAAAATAAAAAGAGTTAAACAAATTAATAGTTTAAAAAACTATAAACACGTTTTTATTTACTGCACTAAAAAGCCAAACATAAACAAAATATACTCTCTGTTTACTTCATTAGGGCCCTAGAGTAAGCCATGTTTATAGTTTATTTTACAATTTAAAAAGCGTAGGACGCTACATTATTAAATTTTAACTGAATTGTTAAGCATTATGAATCACGTAATATATTAATTGATTTGATAAATATTGCAATGTATAGCGCCCCACGCTCTTTCAGTTATACATATGTTAAAATAAACTATAAACATAACTTACTCTAAGGCTCTAATGAAAAAAGGAGAGTATAATTTTGTTTATTTTAACTTTTTAGTGCATTAAATAAAAGCGTGTTTTTAGTTTTTTAATTATCATTTTTATTTATTTCTTAAAAAATATATGATCAACATATTTTTACTTTAAGAACACATCTCAATACCAATAAAATTTGAATGATGCGTCCACAGTTCACCGCACATACCAATTCAATAATTTAAACATCATTGTCACATAACATATTATTTAAAAACAACATTTAAGTCAACATTTTATACTATTTTCATTAAGCGTATCTCTAAATTCTGGGTCCATTTCGTTTATGAGACGAGGTTACAAGTAATCTACACTGCATCTGTCGTAGATGTTGTGTGCCGCTGTCGTGGCTGGCAAGCCGCGAGTGATCGCCCGGGTGCCTTTATCGTGAATGATGGGTTTTCTAATAGAAGTATTGAAGAATTCTTCTTTAAAAAGTTGAAATGTGGACTGTTCGCTATCCTGCAGTACGTTACAAAATTTAAATAACAAGCTTTCATCTGAGGTTAATTGTTGTTTTACATTGGGCGAGATAACTCGCGTTAATATTCTTACTAGTACATTATGAATCTTATCCAAGTAGGTCTTATAAACACGACCATAACTAGATAGACCATTATTAATGTATTGCCCTTAATGTATTTTATGTACTGTATTTTCTTTATAAACTCTAACCCGATTTTCGCGTAATTGTGGAATCCTGTCCATATATTTTCAACACTTAAATACAAAATATTATTTAAACATTTGAGACAAATTCGGAGGTCACTTTTTACTTTATATTATGAGAATTACTTTCAATTATTATTTTTAGGAAAGAAATATGTATTATTAACTTTTGTGTCTCTTAATGATATTTTGATTACAAGTCCTCAGTATATTCTAGGAAACTAGGGGAGGTAAATTGAAGAAAATCTTAATTCAGGCATTAAATGAAGAAACTGACAAACAAACTGCTGGGTCTAAAGAATCCAAATTTGGCAAGTAGGTTCTTAATGAGGTCTAGGGGTACAAAAAGAAAGAACTTTTTTAAATTCTCCCTCGAAGGATTTTAAAGAGGGGATGAAAAGTTGTATGAAAAATCTTATTCCTTGTGTTAAGAGACTTGAAACTTGGCACTGATACTGATCTGAATAAAATATAAAGTTTGTAATATTTTATTTTCCTAAAGTATCCCCTAAAAAGGGATTAAGAGGCTGTCGATGTTATGATTTTGATGAATGTTAACACGCACTTTGAAACTTGATATTTTACTAAAGATTAGAAAGAGTTTTTCCTGCTGTATTTTAGACTTTTTTTTCTAATTAATATAATATATAAAGGAAAATATTATATCAGCAGGCAGACTAAGATAATAATTGAAATTAGAGATAAAAAGAATACTTCTATGAAGATGTTGCATTAATAATCTGTATTGTTGAAAAAATGTTTGAAAATAATAATAATAAATCATAAGATTGTTTCTGCCTTTAAGTCTACTATTTCTATTAGTTATGAGAAGTATTACAATGAAAAAGGCAGATAAAAACAATACTGTCTCTTCGAAGGCAGAAGTTATAGTACATGGAAAAGAAAGCGAGAAAGAATAGGTGATTTAAAACCGGGAATGAAGATGTGATCCAATAAATTATGGCTGGACACAAGAAAATGATAATTCAACTGGTTTGAAGGAGAGCATCTACCATCGTCATACAGCAACATAATTCATGAGCAAGTAGTAGAGCAATGAACTGATGAAAGACAGATAATTTTTAAGTAGATTTTAAATTTACTTAGTTTATGTTAAATGAAGATTCAGATTGAAATGGATATTTATTCTCGGATGAAGGAGAGGTAATAGATGATAGTGTAGATCTCGCTACTAACAACAGAATTCAGGTTGAAAGTGACAAAGAAAGCGTTGACTAGTTAATGTTATAAATATACGTATATTCTGATAATAAATGTAACTATAAATAATGAAAATTGAAGATAATAATGATATTAAACAATTTTTTTTTATAATACCTCATATATTATAAAAAAATGAAACAAAAATTAAGAAATTACTTATTTGTTTTTATATAACATCCAAAATCAGAGCTGCAGATCTCCGCCACCTTTTTTTACATTTACAAATACTCTTTGAAAAGACGATGGAATAACATAGAACTATTTTTTTACAGTTTAATAATTATTTTTATAAAAACTCCCACCATCTTGCCTTTTACCACAATAGATACAATTAATGACACAAACGATGAGTTATGTTTGTATTAATTTTTTAAATGTTTTATTTTCTTTGTTGTAGCCTCAGTACGTCTAGTCAGTCAGCGGCGATAACAGGATAATTCCGATTGAATTTTACTTGGGTAAGTTGTTTTGATATTTTTGGCTGTTTGAAAACAAATACAAAACAAACAAAGGTCAAATTTGACGGGCATATCGGCATTAAAGCAGTTTTCCTTTTACTAAAAGATCGCAAGTAGATTAAGCATTCCAATATGAAGAATGCTATTTGAAAATTAAGCTTGAAATCCATGTACGTGTGTCAGGAATCATAGCGGCCGACTGTCCGTTCATAGAGATTATTCATGAAACAATATTAAGAACTATGTAAGTATTTTTCATTAAAGCAAGCGTCGTTAAGCCAGTGTTTCCTTCTTTGACGCAATCAAAGATGTTTAGGCAATCTTCACTTCACTTAACATCAGGTGGGGTAGAGTCATTTGTCGGACCTATCTATAGAAAAAAAACTCCTATCTGCAGCGATTAAAAAAAACTTACATTAAACCAACATGTTATAAGTTTCCACCGCACACTCTCATACACCCACAAGCTAGGATCTTCCGCTTTCGTAAAGTCTATGAACAATAACTTCGAGGAGACGACAGCTAGGTGTATCAGGGCCAAACAGTAGATCCAAAGGCGCACTTTTAATAAATTATCACTTTTCCGAAACACATTCCCACTAAAAATTAAGTCTAACTTTTCTTTGTGTAAAAAGTTTACAATATTTATGCACCTAAGCATTTTCGCACGATAGTACGAGCCGGTTCGTTAACTAAAAATGGCGCGATTCATCGGTGTCCATGCGTTTTATTTATTACGCGTGGTTGTCGCGTACAAAACACGCGCAGCCTGCCGCTAAGCAGTTTGTCAATTATGCCTCATATCAAAGCCAAAGATGATAAAACAAACACTGCATCAGTCGTGGTGGTTTTGTAATAATTATTTCTTTCTAATACTATCTAATGAATCTATCTTTTTCACATTATCTCTGCATCATTGGGTAACCAACTGATAATTTTAATACGTTACTGATTACTTCTTCATTAGCGGTTATTTTTTAACACGACAATAGGGTATTTGACAACTTCTTGAAAATGGCGCATATATCAATATTTTTGTGTACTTATAGGATTACGTCTAAGTTTCTTCTTCAGAAAATGGTACGTTTTTATTAGTGTTCATGAACTCCTTAAATAGTGGTTATTTATTACCCAGTATTGTATTTCAGTAAAAAAACGACATCCAAAATATTACTTTCAGATATGCCGCCATAACCAAAATATATTTAAAAATTGCATATCAAAATTCCCCATCGTTTCGGTACAAGGAAAAAATTTACTCGAGGTCGAAGTTAAACAGCCGGGTAAAAAGGGTTTATGGCTATTTTCATCGAAACTGTAACTTACTCGAAACGTAACTGCAACTGTAAATTACCTCGGACTAAAATTTATTTATTATTTTTATGTCGACGCTTCTAATCATCTGCTCAGGAAACTTCACGACATACAAAATAAAGCTCTACGGATCATTACGGGGGCTATGATGTCATCTCCAATAAATTCCCTGGAAGTAGAATCTGGAATACCACCTGTACTCGTTAGGAGAAGTTATTTGACAGAAAAATTCTGCTTGAATTTAATCTGCCGAGATAATGTTTTGATAGAAAAATACTTACAAAACTTTTCTATTCCAAATTATAATATCCTCCCAATATCAGCAATGCCTTCCATCAGCGAATCGATTTCATACCTAAACTTTGAATTCCAAGACATTATCCATTGGTCTAATTTACTTCCCTGTTTTACATACAACTTCCAGTCAATACTATTTGATGTTTCAGTTAAAATATCTCGATTCGATTCTAAGCAAGACTTTTACGAGTTTCTTAATGAAAAGGTTGCTTATGTTAAAATATACACTGATGGTTCTAAAAACAACGTCAGAACCAGCTTTGCTTTCTACGACAGTTGTAATAGAATTGGCAAGGTTTATTCGTGTAGCAATTATTTTTAATTTTTTTCTGCCGAAATTTTAGGTATGATATATGCTGTTAAATATATATCTCATATATATATCGTATTGTGATCTCCATCATTTATTCTTTGATTGTAAGAAATTTAATTATTCAGCGACTCCATTTTATATGCTTACTCACAGATTTATGTACATTATTGTACAGTTTTTGGCATTTCATTAGTGAAAACTGTACAGGATTTACTCAAATTAGAAAACTTATATAATGTAATTCATAACTTTTATGTAAATACTTTTGGCCCTTTGTAAAAATAGAATTTTTATCTTTTATTATTTGTTAAAATAGGTTTCAAGTATTTTGTTCATTTATAATTTTGTAGACGTCTCTTGCTTGTTTTCTGTGTGTTTAGCATTTTAATCTATTGTATAAAAGAAATATGTTATAGTTTTAGTAGTAGTCTTAAGTTTTAGCTGATGGCCCTAGCAGCCAAAGCTATAATAAATTAAAAAAAAAACATCGAATTGTTGTTTTGTTATTGTTACCGTTGCTTGTTATTGTGCATGCGTATTGCAAAGATTTAAATCGGCGTATTGTGTTTTTGAAGTTATACTTCTTTAGGCGCGTTATGAAAAAATGATGAGAGTGAAATTTTTAGATGCGCGCGCATCACTGTAACCCAAAAGTAACAGCATGAAGTTGGCCGCGGGCGCGTTATGAGAAAATCATGTGAGTGAAATTTCGAGATGCGCGCGCATCACTGTAACACAATAGTAACACCATGAAGTTGGCCGCGGGCGCGTTATGAATGTTAGTGTCTAATAATGGTGGATTATTAACCACTATTAGACATCTGTTCGAAAGGTACTTTGAACGATCCACGGAGCTCCATAAGATGATCGCGTTGTCAAAAACAATGTTGGCACGCTCGTCACCTCTGATCACTGTTTTCATATTTATAATATTTATCCACATGTTTCTAGTTTCTATATAGACACAACGTGTTTTAGTTACTTACAAGTGCTAATTACATATGGACTAATAACTTAAATTCAGTAGTGATTTTAATTGAATATTTTGAATATTTATTTAATTTTTCAAATTAAAACTGAACTTAATTGACTGTGTTAACTATCCTTTTCCAGTCCTTTTATTATTTTATTGTAATTATTAATTATTTGCATTCAATTAAAAAATATTTTAAATGATGCTAAAGAAGTATAACTTCTCACGCGCGTACATAAGTTACACGCATCCATTTTTTTTTCTGTTGTTTTTTCTGTTTTTCTGTTGTTTTTTCTGTTTTTCTGTTGTCAAGTCACATAGACTTTTACTACTTTTGGACTTTCGAAATCTTTTACTGCGACTGTTGAGTAGTGCTTGCCTAAGGGTACGGCCAGAGTGCACTCAGATTCAGATTCAGACTCCGAAAACAAGCGCGAGAAATAAACAGTGTAGTTAAAGCAGGGTGGCCAGAGTGGCAGCAGGCAACCTGCTTAGACTACACTGTTTATTTCTCGCGCTTGTTTTCTGAGTCTGGATCTGAATCTGAATGCACTCTGGCTGTACCCTAAGACTTCCGAATCTGATATTTTGGATCTACTATCTATATATATATATATATATATATATATATATATACATATATATGATATTGTGATCAAAGAAGATGTCGTATAAAAGATATATAAAAAAGTGATTTATATTTAATTAATATCCCATTAGTACACTATTAGAAACCCGTTTTTATGCTTTATTATTGCTGTGGGCATTTTCAAACTGTTAAGTACTTCTTACGGCACAAACGTTGTATTCGAACTCAATAACCCTTATCTTTAAGGTTTATTAAGTATTTTGACGAAGTCGGTCAGTACCTACGACCGCTGATCTTACATTATAAAAATCATTTTTGTTTCGTCACTAATCTACGGGACCGGTATACTTCAATAGTTCCGTTCCATGTATTTTTTATTTTGATATGATAATACTTTTATAATTCGTTTTTGTATTACTTGGTATGACATAACCTACAAAACTTCAAAGTAGAATAACTATAAATCCAGACCTCCTATACTATAGTCTCCTCCTCCTATATTATAGGACCTCCTATATAAAGAAATAAGACTAATCATATCAAGAATCTAAACTCTATAATTTAACACGTAATTCATTTATAGACGCAAAAAAAATTTTCAACAAAAATTTATATGGGAGTTCGCCATTGTCCTTTGAGCATTGATGTAAATGCATGTACCTTCGAATATTTAGATTGACCGGACTAAGTTATATGTTTATCTCTGTGTCTATGTGACAACTGTCTACCTTGGTATTAAAATTCTTGTTAACAGAGGCTTAGTAATACGGTTTTGTGATTACTATTTTATTCAACGAATTTCACCTTGCTTATAAATGTCTTAAATATTAGCACCTATATGAGTAAAAGAATGCAATGTTTGTCGAAAAAGCCTAAAATAGAAAACAACTATTTAATAAGTAAACAATGTTTTATTTTAAAGTTAGTCATAATGTTGTCGTATCCAACTTCATGGTCAACGGAAACTCAATATTGATTCTTTATTTCTGACATGGTTTTTAGGAACTGATACAAAGCTCTTGAGAATACGTGAATGGGTAAATAAGTGATCTCCTAATTGGGTTATCCCAGAAACATCAGTTAGTTAAATAAACCACGCGCTCAAACATTCTTATTCTGCGTCAATCAATATACCTACATGTTAGCAGGGCGGGATTTAGAGGTGTGGGGGCCCTGTGGCAACGAAGGAGTAAAGGTCCCTAAATCTGGGCCAGACCACTTACGTTTTGCACCAAAAAGATATGGTGAACCGATCAAATTTCTTTTTATCTCTGTTGTGGGGTCCTCCATCTTTTGGGGGTCACCGGGCCTCGCCCCGACTACCCAGCCTTAAATCCGGCCCTGCATGTTAGCACAAACACTACACACATACTAGAAGAGTAAAAGACTGTTAAAACTATATTCTCTAGTGTTATTTTCTTGAATATTGTCAACCAAAGGCCCTACTTGTAAAGTTGACTTTCGATTATCGTATGCGTCGTTCTACTCTAACTGACATAATTATAAATATTTGAGAGTAGGACATGACACAACCACGTACATGATACATCGAATGTTGATTTAATAGTACGCCATCAAATCTCTGCATGGTAACGAGACAATTTTAGTTCTTGTTCTGAGCGATAAAACGATATTCTTTTTTTATATTACAGAGTAAACATACAAAGCTAATGCAGGATAAACTAATGGCTTAGTTACACTTGGTCGTTAGCCCGTATTCGGGTGCACGAAAGACATTCCTCGAATTCGGTCACCCGAAACATTATTTACACTGGAATACGGGCTGGAAGAAGTGTCGGGTAACCAAAACGAAAACTACCCGAATACGGGCGTACTCGGCTTCGTTCATTTACAGTTACTCGTTTACCCGAATTTCATTGGCAATCGTATTCAGGCTAACGACCAAGTGTAATTGAGTCATTACAGGGTTTTTTTAGCTGCACAGTGTAAGTTCATTATAATTATTTCAGCCGTATGACGTTCACTGCTACTACTACTTGGGGATTCGACATACATTTGTCTTGTTCATGCTCATCAAAATGGCATTATCATTAGAAATTTATTTTTCGGGCAGAACTAAAGGGAAAATCTTGAATAATACAGATGTTTTACAAAAATCGGAATAGCAAAAATCTTACAGGCTAAATGGCTATCGGATTCGGCTCTGTGATTATTTTGCTTGGTTGATGTATATGTATGGGCCGATAATCGAACATTATTCATAATGCCCGGGTAATATGAATAAAGGGCAATAAGAGCGGGCAATGTAATTATAACCAATCAATTTATCACATTGCCCGAGCATTATGAATAATGTTCAGTGCCTATTGGGCAGGGTGATGTAAAGCATGTTTAATACTTTCAAATGAATACTTAGTTAGATAGACCGAGCATTATAAGTAATGAAATCAATTATCGGGTAGAGTAATAATAATAATAACATGTTTTATAGTTAAGTATTTATTTTTAAAATTTTAATAATCAGACTTCGGT